AATTTGGTCAGAATAGATATTGGAAATAAAAGATTCATTGAGCTGACCCCAACTAATTTGGTCTAAGATTTAGTTATTATTGTTGTAATTATTCAAAACACATATACCAAAAATACATAAAAATTATCACTGTCATAAAAAAAATATATATGAAATTGCACATCAAAAACTTTCAAATTGATATATAAAGATCAATAACAAATTATTATTTATATATTATTATATTTGTTGCATCATTATTTATGAGATAGCATATCATTATTATGAGATACGCACTCATGAAATCTTTTACTTATTTCTTTCTCTCGACTTATTTTCCTAAATTTCAAACTTTCTCCTTTACTTTTGAAATATTGGAATGAAAGGGGTCACGACACTCGCTATCCATCCTCACACTCACATAATAGTGGTAAACACGCTCTCTACCTCTCTCACACTTTTTTCCAATAATTTATCAAATTAATTAACCATCTAAGATTCTTTAAATAAATATTTAATTTTCCTATTCTTTTAAAAATAATTAATGAAATATTAATATTATTAATATTTTTTAAATAAAAGAACCTAATACATCAAATCTGGCATCCATCAACCCTCTGAAGTATCATTACTGACATGGCGCAATACTCAAGATTTGATTAATTGCTTTGCGAAATTTCTTTTTTCAATTTAATTATAAATTATTTTATTGCTTCTGGATTTCTCCTTTTCAGTTACGTGATAAAAATAATAAATGCCTTCGATTTTTTTAAACTAATTAATGAAAATTAATATTATCATTAATATCATTTCAATAAATAACATAATGTCAATATAATATAATTAACATCTATCATACCAATAAATAGTGGAAATTAATAATCATCCCACTTCACTCACTCTTTCACATTTTCCATTTTAAAGACATTAATTTTTTCATTTCACACTACTCGCACTATAAATCTATTTATATATATCTATATCTCTTCGTATTTTTAATTTTATTTTATGTTTAATTTATCTTTGGTTATTTATAATTTAATTTTTCCCTTTAGTTTAGACACAAGGTTGAGTAGGAATTGAATATTATCTAATTATACTCAATGATATTTTCTAAACTTTTCTCTCATAACTATCTCCCGTCCGTCCCATAATTTTTGTTCTTCTTTCCTTATTTCATCCATGCTAAATTGCCTTCACTCCTATTTTCTTTTACAGAAGTGAATAATATTTGAATTTTACTATACTTACTCTCTATTTAATACATCCTATTTGTCACAAATATAAATAGTCAAACTATTATATTATCATTATTATATTGATATAAATAAAATTAACATATCAATTAATCTTCTAATAAAATTCTATTTACTCAAATTTTAATTAATTTCAAGAACAATTTAATATTGGATGATTTAATTTTTGAGATATTAACATAAGGTGTATTAGAAAAAATGAAGCAAATATTATATTTAACTATATTAAATAAATTTTTTACTCTATGTGCAAGTCAAATTAGAACACAAATTATAGGACAAAGGGAGTAATATTAATAACATTCTCTCAAAGTAATAAAACATTCTAATTTTTTTAATAATTAATGAAATTAATAACATCATTAATGTATTTCTGTTATAGGAATTGGTTTTTGATGCCTCCTTTCATTTAACTGATAGTGAACTTAGGTGACTCAATGATCATAATAATTAAGGAATTCAATAACTCTTTATAGTCATACTTAGAAATCTTTGGAAATATCAAGTCTCTTCCTACTCAAAGGGCTACTGATCATGAAATTACTCTAAAGCTTGGGCAAGAACCTCTGCATGTCATGCCCTACCACTATGGTCATGTACAAAAGGATGAAATCAAGAAATTTCTTGCTAAGATGTTGCCCGTTGGGATCATAGAACCTAGCTAAAGCCGTTTCTGTAGCTCGATATTACTAGTCCACAAGAAAGATGGAAGTTGGCATTTTTGTATCAACTATCGCTAGTTAAACAAAGTAACAATTTCGAATAAATATCCCATCCGGATGATTCAAGAGCTGCTAGATGAATTACAGGGAGCTTATTTTTTTAAGGCATTCTATTAGGTATTGCACTCTATTACGTATCGCCAATCATTCTAAGGCATATTGTACTCTATTAGGTCGACATGATGGATATGATTCAAAAGTTTATTGCGGCTTGCCTCACTTGTTAACAACATAAATATGAGACCCAATCTACAGTTGGCTTACTACAACCCTAACCAATACTGGATATGATATAGGAAGAAATAAAGCTAAATTTCATTTCAGGCCTGCCTCTCTCAAATGGTGTTGATTGCATTTTGATAATGGTTGATAAACTATCAAAGAATGATCACTTCCTCTCCTTGCTCATCCCTTCACCGCAGAGCCAATAGCTGAGTTATTTACAGCTAAAAATTATCCGATTAGATGGATTTCCTAAGACTATGATCAACGACCATGATCCACACTTTTTTAGCAATTTCTAGAAGGAACTCTTTCGGTTGCATGGTACATAACTCAAGTTTAGTTTCTACCACCCTCAGACCGATGATCAAACTGAGGTTTTAAATAGAATCTAGAGTCCTAGTTCCATTATATAGACTTCATTTAGACCAAATAAGATTCAAATAAAATTATTAATATTCCATAAAATTTATGAATAATTACAAGAATATTAATTTTTTGCATGTTTCACCAAATAAGAAAATCATTATATATGATACTTTAAAAAAGTTTTGCTTCATAATCTTTAATCAAATGGTTTTACTTAATAAAATGAGGAATAACTTTTGAAACTACTTTTAGGTAGGTGAGCTTAATTTAAAATCACACTAAATTAAATCAAAATTCAAATGAATTTTTAAAATGAAAAAAGCTTCAAATTAAATATAGTTCAAAATCTAATTAGTTCAATCAGTTTTACATGCACTTTTAGGTTGTTAATTTAAGCGTTTTACTAAAAACAAAGCGAAAAAAAAAAATAATCTATGCAAACTAAAAACTAACATAAATATCCTTAACATTAAAAAATAACCCTAAAATTGCAAAGGGATATAATTTCTCGTTTTTTTTAAGGAAATCTTACACGATTAATTAATATAATATTTAATTAATTAATCTAATAATAATATTTTTTGAACATATATTGAATAACTCCAACTAAGTGCAAAATAGGTAAAATGTATTTTATAATTCCTTTTTACTTACTATTTATTATTTTCTTTCTCTCTCTATTCTTGGGATAAATAGTTTAAATATATGTATATATTTCACATAAATATATTCAAGAGAATATTAAAAGAAATATCAAATTTCACATAAACTATTAGATCAATTAAATATTTATTATTAATCATTCTTTATTATTATAATAAAATTTTTTACCTTTGTTGCCATACATCCGATTATTTCCAAGCAGATTATATAAAAGAAAAATATCACATATTTTTCTATAATCAAAAAAAATATTAAGGTAACTATTTTTCATCCTTAATAAATCATCTAATAAGACAAGAAAGTGACGGAAAATTAATTAAATATTTTCAAATACACCACTTTATCATGAAATTATTTTTTTTCCAATAAAAAGAACTAAAAAAAAATTAAAATATCAGAATATTTATATGTATATAATTTCAAAATTTATATTTAAAAATTTATTCTATTTGAAAATTTCCTTTTTAAAAAATATATCCAGTCAAATTATACAAACACAAAAAAAAAAAATAAATAGTTATAAAAAAATATTTTCAAAAATATTTGGATCAATTTCATATTTTATTATTCTTTCATTATATAAGATTTTTTTTTCCCTTTATTTTGTTCACGACCCATTTCCGTGGGCCGGACCGGCACCTAAAGGACCTGGGTGGGCTTAAAGGCCCCCCGAAGCCGCGTAGTAAGCCTAACTTATTTAAATCTCACATTCTATTTCCATAATTATGGTTTGGCCCATTTACTTATTATAACATTTTGGCATCTAAAATACAGTTTCATATGTTTTTAATATGAACTTTTATTATTTTAATTTACAACCCCAACTGGGAATACAATTGCGGAACTCTACGTTTATATTTACACTGTTATTTCTTATCATTAACAATCTTCTACAATAAGTGTCTCACCTCCATAGGGCTTTTCCTTTCTTTCACTATTACTGAAAAAAATTAGTAGGCAGGTGTGAGCCCCGCCAAAAACCTTTATCAATGAGTTTAGGGTTAGATAACCCTCTCACCCCACCAATCACGACAGATGCTAAAATATTTTTTTAATCCCGGTTTAACTGTTTAATTATTGATCATGCAATTTGCCACAAATGGGCAATACAACAAGCAATCACAAGGTATTATCACCTTCATCATAATCACAATCATGTGGAATTGGTCTGTGGCGTCACCGAAACCCCTGATGAGCCGTCCTCCCACATGGCCCATCCTCTCACGTGTGCACCAGGGAGCCGATCCCCCATTCTGGTTGACCGATCTAATCCTCACTTGACCAGCCCTCTCATTATTTTTCCATTCTCTCTTTTCTTTTCCATACCAACAGAAGGCAACCTGGTCATCTCCATCAAATCTAGATCATCAGGCGCTCACAACAAGAGACCACCCTACGGGCTGCGATCAAATCTAGATTATCAGGTGCGCCCAATAAAGAAACCAACCTGTGGTTTTCCATATCATACAGATCATAACGGTAGGTGCACACGGGGGCGCCGATCTCCCATTTACCCGGCTAACGTAATCGGATTCCATAATAACAGTAACGGTATATAACTGTAACGGTATCAGGATCCATATAATGGTAAGGTCTCACAAACCATGGTGACACGTTCATCCCATCATCCCAATTCCACACAAGCAAAGCACAGCAATATCACATCACAGCGAATCAAGCAATACAAATAGTGCAGCACGATATGGCAATTCAACAAAATAATGCATGATAACATTTAGCCGTGAATGCATGAATGCAGGTGGATGATACTAGTTATCTAACACTACTCACAGTTCTTTATTGTCCTTTAAAAGGACTGCCTTTTTTAGCCACATGCTTCCAGCTTTTGTCCTCGCATTTTGTATTTTATAAGCCTTTAAAATAAACAAGAAATTTCTAAATAAGAATTTTAATTCAAAAACTTATATTTCACATTCGTTTATTTATTTTGGCTACGCGGTCATTTAAATTCACTTGGTTATGTAATATGCATATATATCTAGGTTCTCTCAATTTAATATAAATAACTATCTAAATTTTTATAAACCTTTAGAATAAAATCTCTTAATTATTCGGGTGAGAAATATTTGTATTAATAATAATTCTAATATTGTACAATATTTCTTAATACCTATCAAAAAAAAAAAAAAAAAAAAACAAGTAAAATTCTTTCCCAGTTTTCCTTCTTTCTTTCCTAGTTTTCTGGCTTCTGATCAGATGAGATGCTGTCACTGTAAATAAATAAAAGAAAAACGAAGCAGAACATGTCACCATAGTACGACTTGGTACTGAGCAAATTGCTCTAAATTTGCCTTCACATGATCAACTAGTCAATCCCAAACTGCTAAATTATCCTCAGATCATGGAAACCAGAAGAAGTTATTGCTTTTCCTATAACCTGTCAATGGAAATCATGTGCCAGGAATATATATATATAATCTTCTGAAAAAACCAGCGTGAAAAACCGGTCAAAGACTGAAACTTGCAGACAGATAAAAGGATGAAAATGAGACAGAGAAAGAGAGGTTGTTGTTATATGAAAAATTTTGCTAGATTATAGAGAAAGATAGGAAAGGTTAATTTCTTGGATGGTTTTTAGAAAATCAAGAGGCAAGCTTTGGGAGTATTAGCAGTTTTCAGATTGAATAAAAACGCCAGAGAAAAGAAGTATGGGTTCAGTCAGCAGGTTTTTCTTCGTCCAACACCCGTTCACCCTATTAGCTCCAAACTCTATAGTCTTTATTTTTCATTGTATATATATATACATAAGGTGGGTGTGAACCAAGTTGGCCGGAAATTGGGCCGGAAAGGTTGGTGATACCCATTTTGAGGGTTTTCGATTTCCGGCTATTACAGTCGACGAGGAGGCCATCAATGAAGGGAAGAAGAGAGGAGTCATTTGGTACTACACCTTTGTTGTCCAGGCTTGTCCGGAAACGGCGATGGGAATATCGCCGGAAAGGGTGTCCGCAAATCTTAGCTCTTCCCCTTTCAAAATAGCACAAATTTCAGTTCAAATCTAAGCTATAATCTTCTTTCTCGCGTTGAGTAGATTTTTTTAGAAGTTTCCATTTGCCGAATTTGGTGGCCGGAGGAAGGAGATCGAAGGCAGAGGAAGGAGGAGGAGGAGGAGAGATGACGCACTGGAAGAAGGAGAAGGAATAAACGAAGAGAAAAGAGAAAGAAATAAAAGAAAAGAAAAGAAATGGGCCGGTCCGGTGTTCGATTCGAACCGGTTGGTACCGATTCAGTGAATTTAGTCTCATATTTCGTTTGGTTTTTTGAGTTTTCCCAATCGATTTTCGGTTCGGTTTACTTACAGTATTCCGCACTAAAAATATTAATTTCCAAGCTGTCGGGTTCATTAAATTTAAATTGAAATTTTTGAAAATAAAAATTCAGGGTAATTACAATCTCCCCCCCTTAGACAATTCGTCTCGAATTGGAATCTAGTGGAGACAGAATGAATGGAGCATGGAATTGTAAAGTTATTTAAAGAAATTGGCTTCCAATACCAAAGGAGACCGCTCAAGAGCGAAAATACAGGTCAAGGAAACGTAAGGTGAGTGGGGTACTCTGATTGTACTTGTACCGCTAAATGCATAATATGTAGAATAAAATTTCGTTCAGCTATATAGTACCACCTAGCCCGATGCTATAGGAATCTCACACTTTCTATTTAATCGTTTTCGTCCTTACGCTAACAACTTATTCCTTAAAATTTTTATCTTATCATTATCATTAAAAGTTTGACTTTCATTATAACCTCTGCATTTCTTCTTATGGTGGCCTTAAGGATATTAAGCATACCTTATTAGGTATTCCTTTCAACTATGTATTTTTATACTACGAAGTACAATTTTCCCACAGTTTTATCCGACTCACTATTGTTTCAATATAATATTTTATTCCTTTCAATAACAAGTTTCTTTAAGTCCCGACCTAACGCTGTCTTACAAATTCCATTATCATTTTAAGCCGACATACTAAACTCAATTTCATTCACACAACTCTGCATCAACTAAATAATTTATTCGTTTCCCAGTATGAAGGTTCAGTTCATATAACATGAATTATGAAATAATAGTAAGACCCTAAATTCATAACTTATAAATACCATAAGCTAATTGTTTAATTTTAAATTTTTTTTTTTTCCAAGTTTGTAATATAATAATTTATCAATTATCTATCTCATCTTTCTTATTTATGCCTAGCAAGGCATTTATAATGTCCTTAAAATTTATCCATTCAAATCTTATCAACATTGTTTCTCAACAGGTTAGGGTGTGTATATTAATCTTAACCTCAACTAATATCAAACTAATAACCACTGCACATTTCACTAATTTAACAACTATTTTCGAACTTTCCTCTTGAAGTTTAATTGTTTAATACATTTAATGGGTTGTTTTACATCTAATTACTGTTATCATTTTCAAAAGATGCCCCTGATCATTTAAGAGTCAAAGCATTGTCTCACAAAAAGGGTCAACGTCGAATTTTTTTTTTCTTTACCGACAACTATCCTGTCAAGGAATTTAAATAAATAAATTTTAATATTTATCGAAGAGTCCTGAAGAGATTAATTGCTGCGTGTTTTAAATTTAAATATCGAAAGTCCCCTCTATGCTCTGCTGTTGGTCACAATTCATTATAAATCTAAAAAAGGCATAATACTTCAAATTTCAATCTAATGTATCTATCTCTAAGTATCAACGATTATATTAGGTTCTATTTCATTTTTTTTTATAGTCCTACAACACTAGCTGTCTCATAATGTGTTTTGTTGGTGTACTAACTAAGAGTTTGTAAGTAATTTCCACATTCTCCCTTTAATTAATATTCTCAAATACACATTATATTCGCAATCATTTGAATTTGTTAGTTCCGTTTTCCAAAATTCGACTAATGAGTTAGCAACTACCGACTAGCCTTGACCCATTCTACTGGGTAAACTGACTATTTAAAAATTTTAAAAATAGCTTTCCTTTTTTTCACTTTTAAAAGCATCAGCATGTCAACTCACATATAACTTTGAAATCTTTTCATAGAAATTTGCATTTCACTTCATTTCCTTTAAAAACCAATATCAATGGTAATATATTTTCATAAAGTTTGAAAAAATCATTACTCAAGTGGTATTTTCTAAAAACCCTTTTTGTATTTATAAAATGAATTGTCTATCTCCACGAGGACAATCCGCTCAAATCATTAGTTCCAGTCTATTGTTAAATTTATCATCCGCTAAATGATGCCTCTTAAACCAAGAATATTCTAAAAATCTCCATCATTACTATTCCTTTCGCTATTACTAGCCATCTCAAGTAGATTGGTCCAATACCTTAAATTTTTCCCAAAAGTTATTTTTCAGTAAATGATTTAATATTTATATTAATTATTTGGTCTTTGTTTATTTAGTTATTTTATTTTAAATCATCATTTTTTTTTTATATATATATTGTATTTTCTTACATCCTGAATAAATTGAACCATATGAATCATCATCGTTTGTCTACGATTTAACATCCCCTAGTCTTATCCAAATTCTTTAGCCTTTTGGATTCATTTTAATCTTTCTTTTATCCTTCATATCTCCTTAGTGTACCCAACCTCATTTAAGTCTTATCCGTAAAAAGAGTTTAATTATGGAATACATGAAATACGTAAAACCATCATTCTATCACAAAAATTTAAAATTACATCGCTAAAGTCATTGGCTTCCTTAGATTTCCTTATCTGATTTTTTCAATCTCTGACTTAATTAATTATAAAAGTTTATCTTTGACCTTTAAATCCCTTCCAAAATGCTATTAAAATATTTATTTCAATTTAGCAACCTTCAATCTACTTGGGTATTAATTCTTTAAAGCAGATTTAATATAAGTTTTGCTTTATACTTAAACTTAGATAATAAATAGTATTAGTCCTTTCTACGTTAACTCGCCTACCTTAGATACATCAAAATTCCCTTAAGTCATTAGTTTTCCCTACAGCAATCTACGTTCCTTTTCCCCATTCCATTCCCCATATTGTGATTTAAAGTTATTCATCAATCTTCTACATTCCCATTTTATTATAATAGATTCCTATTTAGTAGTTTCATGGTTTGTAATTTCTTTTATTAACTATTAAATCAATCTTTCCATATTAATCAAATGTTAAATTCCAAACTTTTATCCAATTTTACTAGCCACTTGTAAATTCTCTACAACACTAAAATTTTACCCTTCCACACTAATGTTCTCCAAAGGAAATTTTACACGCTTCTTTATTATGTTAACATTATTTCTATACTGTTTTAGGTAATTTAACCTATCCAATAACATTACGTTCTTCACAATTCAATCAACCATAATTAATTATTATCTTTTTCCTGTTATATTGTTTTCAATACTCCCATTTAATTCTACATATCGAGATTCACCTCAATTAATACTTTTAAATTATTTTGTAGATACAATTTATCCGTTCCCTACATCTGACTCTATTTTATTGATTCCAAATAAGTCTCTCTCTTTTCCTCGATGTCATATTTAAGCGATTTACAACTTCTATCTTGGGATACGTAAAAGATTTCTTGTCCTTTAATGATTAATTTGTCTTAGATCCTCCTTTCCTGACGCTTTGAATTTAATGTAAATTACAATTTTCCACTTTTTTGCATCCCTAATAGTAAATTTCTAGAATTTAATACTCTATTAGTTTATCATGTATTTAATTTCTATAGGCCTAATTTAAGTTCGGATAAGAACAATATAATAAAATTAATCAAACCATGCCAATCATTATAAATAATTTAAAATTCTAAAATCACGAAAAATTTTTTTGAACATGCCGACAAAAACAAGAAAAACTAAAACACTATAATTAAATGCAACTTCAAAACATTTCTAGTAAGCCAAATATAAAACATTTTTTTTTTTCAAATCATAGTTCAAATAAACTCACTTTCTTACTGTCTTTAAAAAACCTCCGAAATTCTTTTCTAATACCAATTTCCAAATAATTTTTGAAAGCATTGTCTCTTGTCGAATCAAAGTGTACTGGTGATCGGCCATTACACCAATTTCCAACTGATCTTCTGCTTCAAATAGATGGAGGGGATTTTGCAAAACTCATATTTAATTTTATAAACGTCAGTTACCCCAGACCCTTTTTATAATTTAACTATTCTTTATGTACCTTTCAGTTCTTCAATCCTAAAGTTTCATAAGATTTCCTTCCATCCTCGTGCAGATGCGTCCACCGGCACTAAAAATGGAATTAATCCAGACTACAGCTCCTTTGTTGGTTAAGAGCCGAATCCCAACATGGAGGTTCTCTATTTAAATTCCTAATGTTCCGCATATTGATTCCTAAGGCCGCAACTTATGCTCTGATACCAACTTTGTCACGACCCATTTCCGTGGGCCCGGAACCCGGCACTAAGGACCTGGGTGGGCTTAAGGCCCCCGAAGCCCGTAGTAAAGCCTACTTAATTTAAATCTCACATTCTATTCATAATTTATGGATTCAGGCCCATTTACTTAATTATACATTTGCATTCTAAATTACAGTTGCATATATGTTTAATATGAAACTTTTATTATTTTATATTACAACCCAACTGGAATACAATTGGCGGAACTCTACCTTTAATTTACATCGTTATTTCCTATCATTAACAATCTTCTTACAAATAAAGTGTCTCAACTCCAAGGGCTTTCCTTTCTTTTCTAATTACCTGAAAAAAATAAGTAGGTCAGGTGTGAGCGCCAACTCAATGAGTAGGGTTAGATAACCCTCTCACCCCATCAACAAAATCACACAGATGCTAAAATATTTTTATCCGGTCTACCTGTTTTAATTATATGATCTATGCAATTTTGTCCACACAAAATGGCAATAACAACAGGGCATATCACAAGTATTATCACCTTCCATATAATCAACAATCTATGTGGAAATTAGTCAGTGGAGTCACCGCCCCCCGGATGAGCCGTCCTCATACCAACATGGCCCTCCTCTCAAACGTGTGCACCAAGGGAGCCGATCCCCCATACTGGCCGAACCGGTTCTAATCCTCACTTGGACAGCCCTCTCATTGTTTTTTCCAATTTCTCTCTTTTCTTTTTTCAAATACCAACAGGAGGCAACCCGGTGGTCTCCCATCCAATCTAGATCATCAAAAGCGCTCACAAACAGGAGGCCACCCTGCGAGCTGCAATCAAATCTAGACTGTCCGGTGCGGCAACGACGAGAAAGCCAACCGTGGTTAACGTAACGGTAACCGGTTAGGTGCACACGGGGGCGCCGATCTCGCCATTTACCACGGCTAACGGTTAATGGATCCATATAAACAGTAAACGGTATAATAACGGTGGTAATCAGGATCCATATAATGGTAAAAGTCTCAACAAACCCATGGTGACGCCACTCCATCCCAATTCCACACAAGCAAGAGCACAAGCAATAATCACAATCAAGCGAATCAAGCAATACAAATAGTGCAGCACGAAATGGCAATTCAACAAAATAATGCATGACAAACATTTAGCCGTGAATGCATGAATGCAGGTGGAATGATACTAGTTATCTAACACTACTCAACAGTTCTTTATTGATCCTTTAAAAGGACTGCCTTTTTTAAGCCAACATGCTTCCAGCTTTTTGTTCCTCGCTTTTGTATTTTAATAAGCCTTTAAAATAAAAAGAAATTTCCTAAATAAGAAATTTTTAATTCCAAAAACTTTTTTCACATTCGTTTTTTATTTGGCTGGTTTTAATTCACTTGTTAGTTTGCATATATATCTAGGTTCTCTTTTTTAATAACTATTCTAATTTATAAAGCCTTAGATAAATCTTTTATCGGTGAGAAATATAGTATAATAATAATTCTATATTGTTACAATATTTCTTAATCTTCAAATTTTCGTCGTCACTACCTTCTTAAGTTATTTAAATTCTTTTAGTGTTTATTAAAAAAATTTCGACCACACATTTTTTTTAAACTGACCATGCCAAAATTTTCAAATTTTCCCACAATCCACACAACATTGTAGACCACTTGAGCAAATCATATCCACTTATCCGTCCGCATATCCATCAATTTATTCGCTCACTTAATTCTATCCATTATATATTTGTTCTATACTATTTATTTGTTAATAAATTCCTAAAATTTATTATTCGGCCAGGAATATATATATTATTTATATATTATATATATATATTTAATATTTTATTTTATTTAACTTAAATACTTATTAAGTTCATTAATTAAATTAAATTCAGAAAAATTTATTCAAAAATTGCCGGATTAGCTTTAGAGTGTACCGATTTAAAAATCAGATTTCATTTCCTGTGGTTCGCGCGAAGAGGAGAGCATTCTGTCCCCTTGAAGTCTCGCCGGGAGTCTCGCCGGCCGGTTCCGCCGGACCGCCGCTCGGCCGCCACCGTGCACGGTGCCCGAAAATTTAAACCTTCACCAAAATTGACAAACAAATACATCATTTTATTCGTTTCGGATGAGAGGAATCACTAATATGTGTTCCAAATCAAGGTGGGTGGTGAACCAGTTGGCCGGAAAAATTGGGCCGGAAGGTTCCGGTGATAACCCATTTTGGGTTTTCCGATTCCGCTATTTACAGTCGACGAGGAGGCCATCAAATGAAAGAGGAAGAAGAGAAGGAAGTCATTTGGGTTACTCACCTTGTGTCCAACGGCTGTGCCCGGAATAACGGCGTGAAAATCGCCGGAAAAGGTGTCCCAAACTTCAAGCTCTTCCCCATAGACACAATTTCAGTTCAAATCTAAGCTATCAATCTTCTCTTTCCTCGCGTGTGAAGTAGATATTTTTAGAGTATTCATTTGCCGAATTTTGGTGGCCCGGAGGAAGGAGATCGAAGGAGAGGAATGGAGGAGGAGGAGGAGGTGCGCCAACCTGGAGAAGGAGAAGGAATAAACGAAGATAGAAAGAGAAAGAAAAAAAAGAAAAAGAAAAGAAATGGGCCGGTCGGTTCGATTCGTTAACCGGTTCGGTCCGATTCCAGTGATTTTAGTCTCATTCCGTTTGGTTTTTTGAGTTTTCCAATCGATTTTCGGTTTCCGGTTTACTACAAAGTATTCGCACTAAAATATTAATATTAATTCCAAGCTGTCGGTTCATTAAATTTAATTGGAATTTTTGAAAATAAAAAATTCAAGGGTATTACATTATTGGCATAATCCGATTATTTCTAAGAAAAGTATCACAAAAAGAAAATATCACATATTTCCTTTCTGTAATAAAAAATAAAGTAATTACTTTTTTATCTTAGATTATCGTCTTTAAAAAAAAGAAAGTGAATGAAAAAATTAATTAAATATCTCATATACACCCATTTTAAATCGTGAAATTATATTATTTTTTCCATAGAAAGAAGTTTTCTAAAAAGAAATTAAATAATCTGAATATTATATGTAATATAATTTCAAAAATTTATAATTAAAAATTTTATTCTAATTTGAAAATTTATTTTTAAAAAAACAATATCAACATTGCAAACAATAAAGAAAAACAATATTTATAAAAAATATTTTTCTATTTTTATCTCCTCCTAAATAAAAATTTAAATTATAATCAAAAATAAATTAAATAAATATAAATTTTAAAAAATAAAATATAAAATTTTCAAATGTCTCTTATCATATATATTTATTAAAATTAATATAAAAAAAGATAAAACTTAAAAGAATTTGAATACTTGGATTATATATTATGTATTTATTTAAAAATAATTTTTTATAAATATATCCAATCAACTAATAAATTTAATTTATATATATATATATTTCACATAAATATATACAAGAGAATATTGATAAATTAAATTATATATTATGTTATTATTGTATAAATTTTTCATCCCTTATTGCAATAATTTGATTATTCTAAAGAGTATTATTAAATGAAAATATCACATAATTATTTTTATAATTAAAAAATGAAAAAACTATTAGGTTACTATTTTTTATTTTAGAATAATCGTCAATAAGAAAAAAAAAGTGATACAAAGTGAGAAGAAAAATTAAATTAAATAATTTTCATATTATACCAATTTATCATGAAAAGTTATAATTTTTTTCCATAGAAAGAATTAAAAAAATTACATATAAGAATTATTTATATGCAATAATAATTTTAAAATTTATATTTAAAAATTTATATTCTATTT